GGACACCATCCTATCACGGTTTCTATGTTCGCGGCAGCTAGCAGGTTTAGTTTGTCTCTACACTCGAGGACCAGTCTAGACATAAAGACGTTACTCGATAAGGCTTTTATCGTAGCTTGACTGTCAGTGAAAATCGCTATTCTTTTCTTTCGAGTTTTGTTCTCTAACAACATTTCAGTGCATCTCGTTATGCCTAACACCTCTGCTTGAAATACCGTGTTGTCTTTGCTCATGTGCTCGTAGAATCCTGTATTTGGTTTGTTGGCTGTCCATGCACATCCGGTGTACCCCTCTTCATCTTTGCTACCATCCGTGTACCATGTTTCACAGCCCTCCAATTTGTTAGTGCCTTCCCTAGTCCAGTCTGTTCTTTTCATGATGATCGTCTTGAATTTCCTGCCAAATCTGTAGATCGGAGTGATTCTATCTGATGGAGCATTTAGGATGTACGTTAGTCTACTACCTGTTTCCATTTCCGCTGTTTTTTCGATACTTGCGTGTTCTTTGTCATTACCAATCCATGTTCCCCAGTTGTTTAACAAACTGATGGTTCGGAGGGCAGTTTCCTCTACCTTTACCTTCAGCGGTGCAACGCATAGCAGTGCCTCCATGGCCTTAGTAGGTGAGTATCTGAATGGTCCCAGGACACTTTTTAGCGCATTATGTTGTAGGCTTTCGAGTTTTCTCCTGATTATATCGTTGTCTATTCCTTTCCACCAGATGATCGCTCCGAAGGTGAGTCTCGGGATGATTATTGCTTGATACACTCATAGGCAAGCTACCGGCGTTAACCCCCATGTTGCTCCAATCATTCTGTTAAGCAGTGCAAGGTTGTTCTTCGCCCTTCTGATTACTCTGTCTGCATGATTCCTCCAGGAGAGGTCTGGTGTGAAAGTGATCCCCAGGTATCATACCTCCTTCTTTAAAGTTAGTTGGGTGCCGTTCAGTTTTACTCCCTGAATGTTTAGCTTCTTCTTTTTTCTTGTAACTACCATGTGTTCGAAGCAGTAGTTCCAACGTTTCTTTGGTGCTCTTGGTGAAAGTATCGTCGTTCTTTTTTAGCAATCCTAGGTTACTGCTGTCGGTTCTCTCCATAATCTTAGTTAGTTTTGCAATATTCTTTGTTGTTTTTAGACTTCCGCAAAATTTCCTCCATGATTCTTTTTTGTTTCTTTTGATCTTATCTTTTAGCTGTCGTTCAGCCCTCTGTGCTCTGATTTTGTCACAGTTCTTCGTTGTTCTTCTGGCTCTGCTCTTGAGTTTGCGACAATTATCCCTTAGTCTGGTTAGATCCGAGTTCCACCAAGGGACCTTGATTTTTTCAACACCCTTTATCACCTTGGAGGCAGTCATAGCCGCGTTACCAATCAGTTCATTCAGTGAGTCCGCTGCCAAGTCTAGCTGGTCCGATGTACCGTAATCCTTGGGTATATTCCCTTTGTTCTTGGCTAGTTCCTCTCTAAACTTCTTCCAGTCAACCTTTCTTTTATCTACCTTCAGTGAATTGTTTCGAGTTGTTCAAATGGATTTCGTATGTTATATAAGTATGGTCCGAGAGCGAGGGCTCGTTTGATACCCGCCATTTGCTTATGTCGATTAATTTGTCGACCGAGACGATCGTGATGTCTAGCACTTCTTCTCTGATGCAGGTAGTAAACGTCGGTTTATGACCTTCATTTGCCCATGTTAGTTCGTTTGACTCAAGGAATTCTAGCAGGGTTTCACCCCTCTTGTTTGTTTTTGTACTGCCCCATGCTGTGTTACACGCATTGGCGTCTGTTCCCGCGATATACTCTAATCCTTGTTGGTTGCACCAATTTATTGTATTTTCCATTACTCCGTCTATCGGGCTCTGTCTATGGTGTGGTAGGTACCATGATGCGATAACAAGTTTGTTTATCCGCCCGCTCGGCGAGACCTGTTCTAGCATTGCCGTTGTCATGTCTCTGTTGCTGAACTGTGGCAGAAGCACTAGTTTTAATCTTTTACTGACTGCCATACAAGCTCTTGTTTCTATCCCCTCTTGTTGTTTTGACAGGACTTCGCCAATAGCATTGAGTGCGCCTATTCTATCTTTTTTCGGAGTCCATGGCTCCTGAATCATGGCCACATCTATATTGTTTTTAGCCATGAAATGGACAAGCGCTCCTGTGGCCGCCTGGGATCGCCTTAGGTTTATTTGAACGCATTTTAGCACGCTACTCTCTCCCATCGCGCTACCAGATCTCGGTTGCCCGTTCATCGTCTTCTTTTATGATCTTACGTCTATTACTACTGCTGTTTAGTTGCTATATGACCAGGCCGCCCCCTATCTTCTGCCTAGCGTTCCCTCTGTGATTTATACCTTTACCCTAGTTGCCCTGACTTGCGCCAACCGGTCGCAAATGCTGATCTGTTCGATGGCCCGATTGAACCGCAGTGTGTATCGTTTTATCGATTGGGACCTTACCATTTACCTTGGCGTTGCCCTTCTATAGTGATTATCTGGTTTCACGCTGACTTATCAACTGCGAATGTAATGTCCGTTACCGCTGTAGGTAATTTGGTCGATTCTACGTTTTGGTTTACAAGGATACGCCAGGGAGTGATAGGGACCAGTTACAATTTTTCCATATGTATATTGTTTATTTCGTAGTTATGGTTTACAGAGTATTTGTTGTGTTTTTGTACACTATCCTAGATGAACAAGTCGCCTGTTGTCTGTTCTGTACGCCTCTTGTGTTGTCTTTGAACTTATCTTATTACCGTCTGTACCTATGAATCTCTTTTAACGTTCTCCGGTATGGCAAAACAAGCTACGATGACCAATTCGTGATTCTGCTCTCCGGCGTACCTCTATTACCTCGTACCGGTCAGATAGGGCTCGGTGCAACTCTTTCCTCGATCGTCGGTAAGAAGGGAATCCTGCAGAGTACGTAAAGTTCTTGTGTATTGTATCCAGCCACCGTTACCGAGTGTTGACTAGAAATGACAGTGTAGGGTGACACCAGCTGGTGAGTGCCCAGGATTAGGCGATTAACGCCATGCGTTTAAGAGCTGACGCTCCTGACCTTTTACAAGTCTTTGTTCTTTATTATAAATAAGCAGACAGAGCCGCAGGTCGGCAGACCAGGCCAGTGTTTGTTACCTGTTTGCTTGATTTTCTATTCTTCCTGTTCGGCTCCGCAACTAGATCTCTAGAACTCTGTTACCTGTTGTCTGTTACCTATCACTGCTTGTCGGTTCTACTTAATGCTTTCCCTTCAAGGTGGCGTGTTTATCACCTGGCCGGGTTCTCTACTGTGACCGCTAGATGAAATCCCAGGCGTCTTAGCGCCCTCTGTTCCTATACCGCCACGTCTGCGCAGAACGCACTGACGCTATGTTTCCCGCCAAATCGATCACTTGTAACCGAATACCTTACTGGGGTATTCGGGAGGAAAGAGTTCGTGTCTCCTTGTGAGGAGGAGGACTCGGGAGTGAGGGAAATCAGAAATTTGTTAAATGAAATACGTAAATATGCAAATGTATTTAAGACATATATCGCGAATCAGTCTTTACAACTTTGGTAATTCGGACTAGAGCGGCAAAATTACAAGAGATTGAATCACGGTACGGTGCCAGACTAACGGCGCTTTACGTACATTAATGCACCATGTGCGTATCCGCGGTTCCTAGGTGCATATATATAAAGAACGACTTACAAATCGAATGTGGGAGACGTCCTCGCTATGCTTCGCCCGCTGGTAGAATACGCACTCGCAGTGGCCACCCTCGCACGTCACCAATCACACACAGACTTTGATATTGGACGGAATTCAATCTAAATGTTAGGTTCTTAACAAGTTAATTTACAACAGCTCCGTATAACAATTGCTTTAGTAATCGTTCGCGAACTTATTCGTACCGTAGGAGGATTCGAAGTGGCCCGTCGGTTACGGGATCGATCGTCGATCCTCGCGTTACGTAACCGGCGGTACCTACGCCTGCGCGAGGTCCTCGGACCTTCTCGAGCGTTCCTCCGCGAGGATATATGTAACCGGTACACGCGGGAAATTCGTACGGTTACACACTTAACTC